GCACATTTCACTGACACAGAATGGGTCACAAAACTTGCTTACTTGTGTGACATATTCAACCTGCTCAACGAACTCGATCTGTCACTTCAGGGGAGAACAACTGTGCTCAAGTCGACAGATAAAGTGGCTGCATTCAGAGCCAAACTGGAATTATGGGGTCGACAAGTGAACACTGGGATTTCTGACATGTTTCAAACATTAGCAGAGATTTTGAAAGAGACTGAGCGAGGGCCTTCTTTCTCCCAGCTGGTGCATGATCACTTATCTCAGCTTTCAAAAGAGTTTGAGCATTACTTCCCAACCACAAAAGACCCCCGAACTGGCAAGGAATGGATCTGCAACCCATTTGTGAATAAGCCAGGTGAACTACCTTTGTCTGTGCTAGAAGAGGATCAACTGCTTGAGATCGTAAATGACAGTGGCCTTAAAAGTGTGTTTAAGACAACTTCAAATCTCCATACATTCTGGATGAAAATCAAGGTGGGATATCCTGAGACTGACACAAAAGCACTGAAAAGCCTGCTTCCATTTCCAACATCCTGTCTTTGTGAAGCAGGGTTTTCTGCAGTGACAGCAACCAAAACGAGATCACAGAGTAGATGGACATAAGCAACACACTTCGGGTGTCACTGTCTCCCGTCACCCCCAGATGGGATCATCTAGTTGCAGGAAAACAAGCTCAGGGCTCCCACTGTTTCTGCATTATGGTGACTTGTATAATTATTTCATTATATTTTACAATGTAATAACAATAGAAATAAAGTGCACAATAAACGTAATGTGCCTCAGTGGTTAAGAATCCGCCTGCCAATGCAGGGGACATGGGTTCGAGCCCTGGTCCAGGAAGATCCCACATGCCAAGGAGCAACTAAGCCCGTGCGCCACAACTACTGAGCCTGCGCCCTAGAGCCCGCAAGCCACAACTACTGAGCCCACGTGCCTAGAGCCTGTACTCCGCAACAAGAGAAGCCACCACAATGAGAAGCCCACGCACCGCAACAAAGAGTAGCCCCGGCTCGCCAGAACTAGAGAAAGCCCACGCGCAGCAACGAAGACCCAACATAGTCTAAATAAATAAATTAATTTTTTTAAAAAAATGTAATGCTCCTGAATCATCCTGAAACCATTCCCCATTGTCCCCCCACCCCATCCATGGAAAAATTGTCTTCCATGAAACCGGTCCCGGGTGCCAAAAAGGTTGGGGACCCCTGCTCTATAAGACTGCAAGCTCATTATACTTTTAAAGATTTTCATAATCCAACCCCAAAATGCTACTTTTCACTACTCTTCTCTAAGACCCTTCTACTCCTAACAGACAACTGTGAGCTGGAGTTTAGACAGGTGACCGAGTTAAGGAAGATATTCTATCTGAAAAAAAGGAGTTGTGACAGTCACACTGGGGAAGTTGGAGAATACACAAACTTCCAGGAGTTTTTCTCAGAAGATCTCTAATTCTAATTCAGGAAGGAGAAAATATCCTAGGAATAAGATCTACTGGGCAGTGAGGGGAAGGGGTTTTGACTCAGTTTCTCAAAGGCAACAAGATCTGGGCTCTAGCCCTATCAGTGAACACTTGAAGACTCCAGGACACAGAACATTATAAAGTGCTGCGCCATGAGGGCAGAGTGATCCAGACCAAAACATCCTGATGGCACAGTTCACCTCTTGTCTGAGATGAACCTATTCATTCCATCTTATATGTATAATGTGGCAACAGAACTCTGGAGCATCCTGAGTCATTAAGTTGATTACCTGCTGAAAAAGGCTGGGCCAAATATCACTGTCAAAAAATAAGGACACTGATTATAAGACCATTTGTTGGTAGTTTGGAAAGCAGAAAGTCCTGCCAAAAGACACATTGCCTATGCCTAAGGATAAGCTGAGGTCCACTTAGTTTTCTTCTTCTTCTTTTTCTAGTGAAGAAATTGGTTTTAATTATATGAGAAGTAGATGTTCATTGCTGAATTTTCTTAAGAGATAAGCAAAAATAAGGAAATAAAAATTGCCAAAATTCTCTCCCGAGAAAACCATTTTGGAATTTTGGTATATACTATTTCAGACTTCTTATAGATGTGGAATATGTGCACAACGACATGTGTACAAGGATGGGCACGAGTGTATGCAATTAAGAAAAATTGAACTGTACTTCCCTGGTGGCACAGTGGTTAAGAGTCCACCTGTCAATGCAGGGAACACGGGTTCAATCCCTGGTCCAGGAAGGTCCCACATGCTGCGGAGCAACTAAGCCTGTGTGCCACAACTACTAAGCCCGTGTGCCACAACTACTGAAGCCCAAGCACCTAGAGCCTGTGCTCCGCAACAAGAGAAGCCACTGCAATGAGAAGCCCATGCACTGCAACGAAGAGTAGCCCCCGCTCGCCACAACTAGAGAAAGCTCGCGTGCAGCAACGAAGACCCAACATAGGAAGGAAGGGAGCTGGGGAAGGCGGGCGGAGGAAGAAAGGAAGGAAGGAAGGCAGAGAGGGAGGGAGGGAGGGAGGAAGGAAGATTGAACCAATCTAAATGTTCATCACCAGGACACTAGTTATATTAAAAATCTGTATGGATATTCACACACACTTTTACTTACTTATGTTGCTTCATAAGTGACTTTTCCATTCAACAAGTTCCATTCAATAAGTTGTATGAAATAACAGCACAATAACATTTTTTCCCTGACTGGCAAAAGTTAAAAATCATGTATATAAGTACTGGTGAGGATCCAGGGAAAGGGCATTTTAGTGCTTCATACATTATGAAACAACAAAAACCAAAAAAGCTTGTTTCAGGTGGGAATGTGGTCAGCTGTTTCCTCTGTACCATGTACATTAGATTTGAATTTCTTTTTCTTTTTTCTGGCCGCGCCGCACGGCATGCAGGATCTTAGTACATCAGCTAGGGATTGAACCCATGCCCCCTGAGTGGAAGCGTGGAGTCTTAACCACTGGACTGCCAGGGAAGTTCCTAGATTTGAATTTCAATTCCAGTGTTATCATCTTCTATTTCTTTGCTACACTTTCATCTTTGTTGGCCAATTCCCTCTTTCAGTGATCCATCTTTGTAAAATGTCATGTGGATGTATAGCCGGGAGACCAGGAGGCAAGACGACTGCACGCTCCGAATCACTGAATAGCAGATGTGCAGCAGAATTTGAAAAGAGTGACATGATTGGTCACTGCATGAGCATCTGTTATTTGCACAGTGATCTGTGAACTGAAGAGCTAGCAGGGAACTTGTACTTTATGCAGTTATGCCTGTAACATACTGTGGTAACTGAAATTTGAACCTGCTGAGGGACTGGTGTTACTAACTAAACCATGGTAAGTGAAATGTGTGTATATCAGAACTGTGCAGAGTGAGGACTGCCAGTACCATGCAGCCATTAAAGAAAACAAAGATCTATATAAACAGACAGGAAGAGATCTCTAAAGCATTGTTAAATACAAAAATAATGTCTCAGAACATTATATAAAATATGCCCCATTAACGTAAGGAATATTTTTATATGTATGTATATAAATTGGGTTTATTCGTTCAACAAATACTTATGGAGTACCTACACCATGACTGGCATTGTTCTAGGCACAAGTCACAGCAGTGAAGAAAATATGTAAGGTCTCTGTCCCCTTGGAGCTTAAAAGTCTTGTCAGGGTGACAGATAAAAAGTAAACGAATAAACAGTAAGATAAATGCAAATAGTGGTAAGTGCCTCTATAAAGAAAATAAAATAAGGTGATATGCTTCACTAAAGAGTGACAGAGGGGGAATCCCCCGGCAGTCCAGTGGTTAGGACTGTGCGCTATCACTGCCAAGGGCCTGGGTTCAATCCCTGGTTGAGGAACTAAGATCCCACAAGCCACGTGGCTCGGCTGGGGGAGAAAAAAAAAAGAAGAGTGACAGAGGGATGCTATTCTAGATGAGCGTGGTCAGAGAAGGCCTCTCTGAGAAAGTGACATTGAAGATGGGAACTAAAATAGGAGCCAGTCATGTTTATACAAAACCACCTTAAATTTTTTATGAAACAATACAGAGAACATGCAATTAAACTCTAACAGCGCATATAGCAGGTCAGGACAGAGTCTATGAAGATACAGAGATATCACAGGAAGAAGAGGTCTTAAAGATGTTTGGCTCCTTTAGAAAACGGTACACAGAAAAGGGATACAGGATGAGCTGAATTAAAGCCCAAGGTACCTACATGTATAGATAAGACCCATCATTTCAAATAAACAATCAGGAAGGAGAGAACAGACTTGGCAATTTCCAAGAAAAAGTCAAAAGCAGTGTCCCAGCATCCGTTACAGGCAGAAAGTCTCAGGTCGAAGGCTTTGATTCCAATAACTGGAATTCCTGGAAGAGTGGGCAGTCAACTCAAGCAGCTCAGTGGAGATTCTAAGAGGTATACTCTCTGTCTCTGTTGAAAGTATCTGCTAAGCATGTGTGGCACAGGGTATCTGCTTAGCGTGAGTTCAACATAATTCATGCTTCCCCTTTCATAGAGTTGTTCCCAAGAAGCAGCTGCTTACCAGAGACTACATCACTCAGCTCTCTTGCATCTGAGACTAAATGACTGGCTCACCAATGAAATGTGAATGCAAAGGACAGGTATCACTTCGGAGCCAAGGGAGTTAAGAAGAGGATGTACTTTCTCCACCCTCTCATTCCATCTGCCTGTTGGATGCAGAGAACCTAGGGGCACTTAGGGAATGGCAGAGCCATATAAGAAGAGACTGGGTCTCTGACTTACCACATAAAAGATGTCACCTGCTGACACCCAAAATACTCACACTGGGTTATTATGTGATTAAGAAATAAACTACTGTAATAAGCCATTGAAATTCTGGGGTTTGCTACAGTAACTTGCATTATGCTAACACAGGTCAACAAGGACTGCAGAGACAGAGAAGCCTAATAACGGTAGGAGCCAAAAATTTAACTTTAGTAGAAAGCTGGCCAAGGAAAAAGAAAGACTGACAAATATATGCTAATGAATGACATACCTCATATTCTGGTCCAAAGCCAGCATAGCCACAGAACCGCCCAGAGAGTCTCCAGAGATAAGGGATTCCTCCAAAGAGAAGAATAAGCTATAAAACAAAGCACATGTTGGTCACATTGAAGCAGTACTAGAAACTATCATATGAAAGTACGTCAAAAAAAAAAGAGAGATCTTATTTAGGATAAAATATGCATTTAGACAGATACAAACCAATTGAGATACTACGTTTACACTGTTAAAAGGTTTTTGCCTGTACACTTTATATGGATGAACTGTATGATTTGTTAATTTACCTCAATAAAGCTGTTTAGAGAAAAAAAAAAACTTTTGTCAAAAGACCTTAATAATCAGGAACTAAGCTTAGAAAGGCTAAGCAACGTGTCAAAAATCCCACAGCTAACAAGTGAAAGAAATGGAATTTGAGCCAGGCTTTATGGCTCCATAGCTGGCTTTTCCTTGAAAGGAAATAGCCTCTTGGTTAGGACAAAGTATTAGTATTGGTATAAGTACAGAGTCATGCCCACCTACCATGTTGGGGGACAGAATGAGCTATCAGAGCCTTTTCCTGGGTCAGGAAAAAGTGAATCCTGAGGTAGGAGTCAGGGTATCATAGGAGTAAGGCACTTTCTCAGCACCACCCTTTGTCTTGGGCAGATAAAGCGAACACAGATATTCACCAAACCAATAAGACATATGAACGAGGGAGCAGCTCTTAAAATGTGAAAAGAATACATGCTTACAAAACACGACTTCTCACAACAGATACCAAGTTCGTGGAATCATTTTGCCCAGAGGAGTCAACGTACTGTTTCTTCACTTGTGGAGCCCCGGAGTGTGATCACACTCCTTGGTTAGAAGCACAATATTCCCATCCGTTCAGACATGGTTCCTTGTGGCTTTGAGGGGTTTGGGCACTATTATATATTTCTTAGGTGTCCTTCCAATCTACTTTCCATTTTTATATATGTATCCATAAATAATAAAGCGGTTTACATATGCTTTTTAAGAATACACACACACACACACACACACACACACACACACACACACACATAGGGACTTCCCTGGTGGCGCAGTGGTTAAGAATCAGTCTGCCAATGCAGGGGACACGGGTTTGAGCCCTGGTCCGGGAAGATCCCACATGTCGCGGAGCAACTAAGCCCGTGCGCCACAACTACTGAGCCTGCGCTCTCAGCCCACGAGCCACAACCACTGAGCCTGCATGCCACAACTACTGAAGCCCGAGCACCTAGAGCCCGTGCTCCGTAACAAGAGAAGCCACTGCAATGAGAAGCCTGTGCACCACAATAAAGAGTAGCCCCTGCTCGCCGCAACTAGAGAAAGCCCGCGCGCAGCAACGAAGATCCAACGCAGCCAAAAATAAATAAATAAATAAATTTATTAAAAAAAATTTTTTTTTAAAAGAATATATATATATACACATATAAATGACATCATATTGTATTTATCATTCTACAACTTACTTTTTATACTCTACACCTTTTTAGACCAATATATGGTGAGTTTTAACTCTATTTGGCATTATCAGCTTTTTCTTTAAAGTGTTTACATCAATTTACACTCCCATTAGCCATACTTGAACATTCTTATTTCCCCACAATCACACTCATACTTGATGCTATTCATCTCTTAGACTTTTACCAGTATGCAGGGGATTGATACAATACCATGGGTCACAAATATGGTCTCTGGACAGCAGCATCAGCGTCGCTGGGAACATGCTAGAAATGAAAAGTCTCAGCCTCCACTCCAGAACTACTGAATCAGAAACTGGAAGTGGGGCCTAAGAGTCAGTCTCCAGTTAAATGTGATGTACACCAAAGTTTGAAAATCACTGTTTTAATAGACTGCCTTTTTAAAGGCCCCTTAACTCTACATCCAGCTATTTCCACTTTACTTTAACTAACTCAATCTTGGATATAAACTGTTTTCCCAGAAGACATGCTTTGGCACCACTGTATGTGGTACATGCTCCACTTGTTGAACTAATTGACTTGGGATGGCATTTCCTTCATCCTATTCTCAATACTAATAAATAATGCAGAATTAAGGATTTATAATGCTTTGGGGGAAAGGCTGGAACACCTACTATTGAAAGTCCAGCTTTTTTTTTTTTTTGGCTGCGTTGGGTCTTCTTTGCTGCACGTGGGCTTTCTCTAGTTGCAGCGAGTGGGGGCTACTCTTCGTTGTGGTGTGCAGGCTTCTCATTGCGGTGGCTTCTCTTGTTGCAGAGCACGGGCTCTAGGCACTCAGGCTTCAGTAGTTGTGGCTCGCGGGCTCTAGAGTGCAGGCTCAGTAGTTGTGGCGCACGGGCTTAGCTGCTCCGCGGCATGTGGGATATTCCCGGACCAGGGCTTGAACCCATGTCCCCTGCATTGGCAGGTGGATTCTTAACCACTGCGCCACCAGGGAAGTTCCAAAAGTCCAGCTTTTAAGTAAGTATCAAGGGTACCTTTAATATGAACTTTGAATGCATTTATGAATGCATTTGGAAACTGCTATTGCAAACTTGCTTAGCATGCTTTAGGGAATAAAAAACAAAACACAGTGAACAGTAAAGTTTCTCTGTATTGATAGGATGTCCTGTAAAAAGAACTAATGATGCCTGCGAAAACAAGTCCTGTGCTTCCACATATATTATTTCACTAAAGTCTTGAGAAGCAGGCAGGGCAGGGAGCATAGTCATCTCGATTTTACAGATAAGGCAACTGAAACTCAGAAATGTTAAAGTAACTTGCCCAGAGAAACCCAGTGACTAAGTAATTGCTATGTGTTGAGTACTATACTAATTGCTTCATTACATTATCTTACTCAGTCCCTGCCACAAAACATATGAAATGTGGTTTAATATCTATCTTCTTCTCCTCTTAAAGAGGAGAAAAAATGAGACTCAAAGAGGCTAAACTGCTGACTCAGAAACAAGCAGAAATTGGAGAAGCTGTAATTTGAACTTTTCTACTCTGCCCTACTCTACTCCCCAGTCATTCCATTTCTTGAGAGGGCTCTTTATTGACACCTATGAGATATCAGGAAAGTTTGTCTCAGAAAGGGGGGACATTTTATCTCTGGGTGCTCTGTCACATTTGTGTGAACAGTGGCATCTGTAATTTGTCACAAGGGCCTCTTATGTTCCCTCAGGTAGAAAGTACCATGGCAAAAAAAAAGTCTAAATTAATCTTTGCACTTGTTCTTTGTGACCAAAGCTTACAAACCAATTAATTTTAATCAACACAAAACAGGAATTAATGAAATTGTTTTCAAACAGAACAGGATTTCAAAGTAACACAAAATACTTCCTATCTAATGGAAAATGTAGTTTACTAATTCCCCAAGGATAAATTTAGCACCTTCATGTTGCAGTCCCTAGAGTTTCAAAAATGGTTTCTTCTGTGTAATTTTAAAGACTCAGAAGAGCAGAGTTTGGAATTCAGTTCTCCCATTTAGCAGTGAGTGTCACCTGGCCATTATATGGGTAAGCCATTTAATTTCTCTGAGTCTTTGCTTTAACCACACTAGTCTTAGTATTCAATATTTGTCAATGCAAATTTTGTGACTAACTAGACAATTTTGTAATCATTTAACAAAGCTACAAACAGCCAGTTTCTTCTCTTTAAGTGAGGAAGCAATTATGGTAGCCAATCTCAATTATTTTTACATGTCTGTATCTTTGCCATAAGCTTCTTTGCCTTAAATACCTTGCTGCAAACATTTTCGCTGCATAACCAAACGGCTGTAAGGAAATTTTGCTGTGAAAGATAAAATAACTGGTTGACAGTTTTGGGGTTGACAGTTTGGTTTCAACTGGTTAGTATATCCTCCAGTTAGCGATGTTATTGATGACTTTATTGAGCTGACAGATGATTTGCCCCAAGAGTTGGTTTCTTACTTTGAAACACACTACTTTGGAGGAGAAAGAGGTCTCCAAGGTGCAAAGTTGAACCCACATTTCCCATAGAGCTTCGGAACATCTATCAGTGGACATTTGACTACATACCAAGAATGAACTATGGTATAGAGGCTTTCACAACGCAATACAGAGCTCAGTTACAAATATGCCTCCTAGTATTTGAAAACTGACACTTCTCTTAACAAAGGAAGAAGTTTTAGCAAAAAAGAAAAAGTGCAATGCTGAACGATGAGACAAATCAACAAGAAAAATACTGTATAAAATACTATGAACAGAAGACTTGGAAGACAAGTGCTTAGGTACAATTCACAAAATAAAATCAGTTATTTGTGCAGTATTGTCATGAATCCACACACATTTTAAATGTATTCAAATGTTTTGTATTTTGCAATAAAGTCTTTTTAATTTTGTTATTCATTTTACGTGTTTATGTCCTTTTTAATGTCCCTCTTTTATTTTTCATTATTTTATCTTTTACTGCAAAGTTGCCTTACAGTCAATTGGTTATGTGGTGAAAATGCTTACAGCAAAGCTGTCTACAGCAAACATGCTTACGGTGAAAGTACCTACAACCTTATTATCAATTTAGGAATCTTTCTCTTAGTGGTACTGAGGGACCTAAAAGAGTTCTGGAGGAATTATGACAGAGCATTTTTTCAGAAAGAATATAAAGTCAAGCCATGCAAAGACATGGGAGACTCTTAAGTGCATATTACTAAGTGAAAGAAGCCAATTCGTAAAGGCTATAAACTATATGATTCCAACTATATAAAATTTTGGAAAAGGCAAAACTATGGGAATGACAAAAAGATGAGTTGACGCCGAGGATTAGCGGGGAGGCAGGGATGAATAGGCAGAGCACAGAGGATTTTTAGGACAGTGAAGCTATTCTGTATGGCACTGTAATGGTGAATACAAGTCATTATATTTTTGTCCAAACCTACAGAATGGAAAACGCCAAAGGCGATGGTAATGTAAACTATGGATTTTGAGTTATAATGATGTGTCAGTGTAGGTTCATCTTTTCTAACAAATGCACCACTGTGACACGGGACATTGACAGTGGGAGAGTTCTGCACATATGTGGGGGCATGGGGTATATGGGAACGCTCTGTACTTTCTGCTTAAATTTGCTGTCAACCTAAAACTGCTCTAAAAAATAGTTTATTTTTTAAAAAGAATATATACCCATTTTTCATTAATATAAACTTCTGGATTCTATTCATGTTTATATCACTTTATATTGCACTATTTTGTAGCCCTTAAAAATTTCAACAAGGGATTTCCGTGGTGGCACAGTGGTTGGGAGTCCACCCGCCAAGGCAGGGGACACGGGTTCGAGCCCTGGTCCAGGAAGATCCCACGTGCCAAGGAGCAACTAAGCCCGTGCACCACAACTACTGAGCCTGCGCTCTAGAGCCCGTGAGCCACAACTACTGAAGCCTGCACGCCTAGAGCCTGTGTTCCGCGGCAAGAGGAGCCACCGCAATGAGAGGCCCGCGCACCGCAACGAAGAGTAGTCCCCGTTCGCCCCAACAAGAGAAAGCCCGCGCAGCAACGAAGACCCAATGTAGCCAAAAATAAATAAAAACACAATAGCCAATGCTTCTGGAGCACTTACTGCAGATCCAGCACTATTCTAAGCATCCTACATATATTAACTAATTTTCAGTCCTCTCGCCAACACTATGAATGAGGAACTATTATTACCATACGATTTTAACAGAAAACCGAGGCACAGAAATGTTGAGTGACTTGACTGAGGTCTCATAGCTGGTATGGTACAGCTGAGACTCAAACTCAAACCACCTGAATTCAGAGTCAGCTGTCAGCCTCAACGCCATGCACTTTCAGTTGTTCTTAGGGGTAGAAAACCAAGAACTGGTCTGTGGTGGCAGGGGGAATCTTACTCATTTTATGTGTAAAGCACACACACACACACACACACACCAGAAACAGACATACAGTGTAAAGCACACACACACACACACACACACACACACACACACACACACACACCAGAAACAGACATACAGTATATCTCTGGTATTAAAATTTCATGGAGGGGCAACTAGGAAAATTGGCTAAAATGGTACCAGGGTCAGGGGCCAGGGGAGATCATGAAAAGAAGACTGAGAAACATGGCTCTGTACTTTATAGCCTCTCTTCTTTTAGCATGGGGGAAGACTGGCCCTGTTTTACTAAGTAAAAATTATCTGTCACTCATTATTTCATTCAATACATATGAATTATGTGCTTATTATGTGTCAGGTACTAGGTATAAAATGATGAACAAGACTTTAAAGTACCCTATCTTTAGGGAACTACCAGTCTGTCAGCTAAACAGGCAAATTCAATACAATATGCTAAGTACTCTGATAGGAATAATGATGGGATGCTACTTTATCCAGACCTGAGGGATGGGGAAGTTTCAGACGGTTTCTTAGAAGAGATGATGTCTCAGCTGGATCCTAATGGAACAGTAGGGATTTATCAGGCCCCAGTGAGAGAGTAGAGACAAAGTGGGAGAGGAAGGGCACCCCAGACGGAGATACCAGCATGTGAAAAGACTCAAGGTCATAAGAAACCAAGCTGGGTATGAGATGGACAACAAAGAAGCGGAAAGAATTTGGGGTAAGGAATAAAAAGATGAGGCTCAAGTAAGCAACTGCCAGGTCAAAAGGACCTCATAAAGCACGCCAAGAAATTTGGACTTTACCCTGAAGGAAACAGCGGGCCAGCAAAAGGTTTTACGTAGGAGAATAACATGATCAGAATCGTGTTTCAGTATTCCTTGGGCTACAATGTAGAGGACAGGTTACAGAGTTGAGAGGCAGGAAGAGGAGCTGGGATTGCTACAAGAATAACTTACAACAAAAGGTTCGTTTTTGAGACTTCCCTGGTGGTCCGATGTGTAAGACTCTGCGCTCCCAATGCAGGGAGCCCAGGTACAATCCCTGGTCAGGGAACTAGATCCCACATGCCTCAACTAAGAGTTCGCATGCTGCAACTGAAAGATCTCGCACGTTGCAAGGAAGACCCGGCACGCAGCAATGAAGATCCCACGTGCCCCAACGCAGCCAAATAAATAAATATTTTTTTAAAAAGTTCTTTTTCATACCTGGCCTCAGGGTGACAGTTATCATACTCTACAGTTTTCAACTGCCTAAATAGTTATGTTTCTGCCTGTTTTGCTCCACACTCATTACCATCAATAACAAAGGTAAAGAAAGCATTCTGGGATTTGTAGGTGTGTACCCTCTTTTGTGTCACAAAAATGAAAATAAACATTCCAAAGTATTAAATAAGTTGACAGACTGTCTCCCCAAGAAGTAAATTACTCACAGTGCCTTCAACCTCTGAATAGAGTCCTGACCAGAAGCTGAAAGTACTTTTATCCAGCTGATACAGTCGAGATTTCTCAAATGTTTCTGAATCCATGATCTGTCCTAACTCCAGTGGTACATGAGTTGTTGTTTTATATATCCGTCTCTGAAATATTTTGAAGAAAACACCTTAAGGAAACAGTCAAGCTAACTCATTATTTATTACAAGTCATTTACGATCAAACTTTGGTTTATAACATTAACTTGTCACTTAAGCCTGTTGAATTTGCTTTATACATACACAAATACTGCGTTTGATGAAGTACACTGACCACTAAAACAACTCGTGCAGGAAAGTAAAAGCATGAGAGAACCTGCAACTAGTTGACTAGGTGAAATTAAAATCAAAGCTGTCACACACTTTGGTTTGCAGAGGTAAACCAAAATTGTAACATTACAAAGAGTACTACTCATTCCAGGTATAGCATACATCCTATAATATAGAAACTAAATTCATGGACAGAAGAAAGTAAATATGCTAATCATGAGTTTTAACAGATAATGTGGCTAGTCATTAAATTTGATTCTAGAAGACAAATTAAGGGAAATTTGAGGAATGACAGAAACAGATCAGGTCTTCAAGAAAGACAAACTTTCTCGTTATACCAAATTCTAGAAAGTAATTTCAGCCCATGGTACATAATACAGAGAACAGATACCAAACAATATAATGGACAGCATTTTCTACAATGGTTTTACAATAAATCTCTATTCTCTATTTATTATTGGATACCTTACCAAACACTTGATAAAGGGCATTACATGAAAGCATAACTGAAGAAAGAAGACATTATTGAAAAGTAGTTACTGTAACTAGGCTTATTATTAAAGTAAGACAAGTAGGTAGATGTTCAATACCCCATCTCCAATTTAGACAGTACATACTGTGTGCTTACTTTCTGCAAAGGATCTTCTCTAGGCCTACAGCATTCTGTACTAATGAAGCTATCTTAAGAGCTACTCAGAGAACCTAGTGCTATACAGCTTAACACCTCTTTGAATATCCTGGACTAAAAAAAGAAATCTAGATATAACCCAGACAATGACAGATATAGAAAATTTTTTAATTTTCAATTTAAAGATTCATACAGAATGTAATCTGAGAGGAGAAATTTGCAGAGGAAAAAGATTGTAGTGCTCAAGGAAAAGGTTCCAGCAGTTAAAAAAAGAAAGGTTTTCCTAACCATTACAGTTGACTTGATTCAGTGCCAACACAGAAGAAAACCAGCAGTGAAAGACTGCCATAAAGTGGTCAATTAAACTTCAAATCTATCTCATTCAAAAGTTCAGATCTCAGAAATTCCCTGGTGGTTCAGTGTTTAGGACTCCGAGCTTCTACTGCCCGCCAGGGTGGGAGAACTAAGATCCCGCAGGCCACATGGTGCGGCCAATAAATAAATAAATAAATAAAGTTCATATCTCTAATCCATCAAACTGTTAATTGTGATTATCTCCAGGGAACTGTTATTAAGTAACTTTCACTTTACTGTTTAATTGTTTAAATAAAAACAATAAAGAAGCCTTTAAGAAAATGTTCTTTGGGCAAAAACAACAATATACACTTTTTTTTTCTTTCTTTTTTATTTTTTAAAGGGAAAAGAGTTCAGGTCTTTGGAAGGACTGAGAAATCTTCATTTTCAGAAAATGGCTTCCCAGTGCTGTGGTTGAGCATGACACAAATATCATGGGGAAGTTGTGATTATAAAATTTTAGTATCTTCTTTCTGAAGGTTTATGAGTTGCTGCCAAAAATAAAGGAAGTAAGTCTGGGCCCGAGAATCCTTAGGAAGCTGTGGGGCAGGTACAAGAGCTCAGGCCTGAAAAGGCGGCAGCCCTGCCTTCCCTTTCACCAGACCCTAAGCGGCCTGGGGCCCATGATCACGTTGCGGAAAACGTCCTGAAGCACCAGATCCCCTCAAGGCCTACCCCATCATCGGGCCAAGTTAGGAGGCTCAGTAGGGACCCATAAGGTCGAGGCCGGTGCTGGGGCCGCAGCAATCATCCAGGGACTTGGAGTCGAGACCGAGGCTGGCCTAGAGCTGGCCGGGTGTCGGGGTCAGGTGGGCCCTGTCTAGGCTCACCTGCCGCCGTGCTAGGAAGGTCTCCCAGAGATACACTGTCCAGGAGAAGAGCAACACGGCCCCGAAGATACGCTTCTCGGCCGACATCTCCCACATCGCGTCCAGCGACGCCCACATCCCCATGACCACCCCGTTCCGCCGGCTCCTTCAGCGAGCACTGGTGCCACACCAACACCCGTCCCCTCAGAGCATCCCCGCAGTGTCACAGCGATATCCGTCCCTCCCGAGAGCTCCTATACCGACACCCGTCCCATCCCACGCCCTCTGCTCAGCCCGCAGTGTTACACAGACACTCTTCCCCCGGCTGACGCTCCCTAGGGCCGCCTAGTGTCTGCAGGAACAGGATAAGCTCCGCCTTCCTCACTTCCGGCCCACAGTCCGAGTTCCGACCTCCGCCAGCCGTTGCTCCCCTGAGTTGTCTTGCACCGACATTCTTTCCCCTCCCGTCCACGGCGTGTTCCTGCCGAGGGTCCGGCTTCCCTCCTGGGCCTGGCAGAGCCGCGGACCCTCCGCTTTCTAGCCTCCCGAGTGGCAATTTCTTCTCTTCGTTCCGGGGCTTGCCCTGGCTGGGCTGCAGCCTGCGCCGTTCTTTCCGCGGTCAGGACCACTGGTCTTCGGGCTAAGCGGGAACGGACAGAGTGGGCCGCCGCTCCGGCCCTGAGGTCGCTGGGAAGAACAGCAGAGGAGCCGGCTTCCCAGGCCCTAGAAATCATTCCTCTGAACTGGTGCTTCTCGGACTGTGGTGTGTTCATCCCTGGGATACCTTAAGACTAAAGTTAAGAGCGGGACTAGGCATTATAAGTGTGTTTTGGCCTATATTGGGCTGTTCTGAATTCAGGCATATTAGAAAGTGGGTAATGAGTTTTGTTTTTATTTTGAAGCCCTCGTGCAGCTTGCAGGTCTTAGTTCCCCCACCAGGGATTGAACCCGGGGCCGCGGTAGTGAAAGCCCAGAGTCCTAACCACTGGACCGCCAGGGAAGTCCCGTAGGCAACATTTTTTGTTTACTGAAATGGCAGGCAGCATTTTTTTTTTTGTCCACAAAACCAAAGAATTGATTAATATTCTAACAAAACTACAAGTATTATCATACATTAATGTGAGTAATATTTCTCGGCACCGTATCTACTAAAACAAAAAAGAAATAAAATTGAAAGTGGACCCTGCTTATCTAACAGTAAGAAATAGTCATTCAGATACATGAATTAATTGGTGGAGAAGCGCCATCTATCTCACTGAGAGATGCATTTCCAGTAGAATTTTACCTTTTATGTTTATGTGTTATCGAATTTGTAATCGTGTCAAAAGAGCAGCTACATGTTAAAGGTAATTGTAAAATTACTCAGTTCAGAAGAATTCTTTCTAATATGTAGAGCCATACAATTACTGGAAAAAAATTTAAATTTTACTTTAATACATACATTGCAAAGATGTGATCTATAAAATGTTTTTCAAACATAAAAAGTGTTACATTTGGATAACATGGGGAAATGGAACATAAATATAAGTTATAAAGGAACAGTGTAGAATTATCGAATGTTAAAGAGCTCATTCATGTACTTTAAAATGGGTGATGGTTATTCAATTGTTATGTAGATTCTGTTGGACACACTATGAAGAAAGATTTAACAGTTTTATCTTATATTGTCATTATTTACAATTTGCCAGAAGTTACATCCATTGCAACTATTTCAATTTATGATGAAAACTTTTAGATATCAACTTAAAAATATGAGGGGATAAACATTTTTTCAGAATGCTCACTTGGACTATCACTGCTATGTCCTCTTCAGTCTTGTCTTCTCCTGTCTGGGTCCACCCAGCCTGCTGCAGTTAGTCCAAATCCTCACAAAGCCCCTGCCACCCAAACTGTGTGGCTAAGGGCACAGGTTTAGAGTCATTGTTTACGTTCTAGTCACAGCTGCACCACATATTAACAGCTTAACCCCTCTGTGCATCACTTCCTCATCAGTAAAATGAGAATAATAGTATTTACCCCCTCACACTGTGAGGATCAAATGAGAAAAATCATATAAAACTCTTAGTCATGTGTCTGGCTCTGAATAAGTGTCCAATAAGGATTAGCTACTAGCTCACCATACTTGGGAGAATTGCACCATAGTTGATCTGTCACCATGTGTCTGAGGAGATAAAGGATCAGGAAGCTGGTATGAGGTTTCTAAAAGTCAAAACTGGAATTCACTCATTTATTCAACAAATACTGTGTGTCTGCTAAGTACCAGACAGGGTTCTAGGTGCTGGGGACATAGCAGTGAACCAAAGCCCCTTCCTCTCCTGAAACTTAACATTCTTAGTGGGCTAGGGTGGATAAGGAGTTGACAGATAAGAAGCATATATGTAACAGTAAAAGCAGAGGAGGTGATAAGTGCTATGAAGAAAAAGCAGGGAAAGAGGGATGTGGTGTGTTGGCAGGGGCGCTGTAAGATGGTCAAGGAAGAACTCTCAGGTTGTTACTCAAAGACTGGGTCACCTCTTGGTGGGTATCGAGCCAAAACACACAACCAATGGGACTTCCCTGGCAGTCCAGTGGTTAGGACTCCATGCTTTCACTGCCGAGGGCCTGGGTTCAGTCCCTAGTCGGGGAACTAAGATATTGCAAGCCGCATGGCACAGCCAAAAACAAAAACAAAAACAAAAGGCACAACCTAGCCAAAGAGTGGGAGAAGGAAGGATTTACTCCTTGCAACAAGTAAGGAGAACACCAAGGATCCTTCCCAAAGCAGTGTCTCCCCGAACAGCAAAATTGGGGAAGTTTAAGCATATTCGTGAAGGAGCTTGAGCAGAGGAGAATTCAGCATAGAATTGGGGCAAAGGTCGCCAGAGCCCAAGCTCTAGTTGACTGAAGTCATGAGGATCAGAAAAGGTCAACATCATCATTCCTTTGGTTCCACCCAGTTTGGGATATTTGCATGTAGTTACCATCCTTCACCAGGGTGGGGACTTAAGTTCCTGAAGAACAGCTCAAAGATATGTACCAGATTGTTACAGGAATCTGTTTTAGCACTGAACTATTGTTTCTTTTCTTTCTTTTTTTTTTTTTTTACTGGTGTATAGTTGTTTTACAATGTTTTATTAGTCTCTACTGGACAGCACAGTGGAGTTCCCTGTGCTATACAGCAGGTTCTCATTAATTATCTGTTTTATACATATTAGTGTATATACGTCAATCCCAATCTCCCAATTCATCCCACCTCTCTTTTCCCCCCTTGGTGTCCATACGTTTGTTCTCTACGTCTGTGTCTCTATTTCTGCCTTGCAAACCCGTTCATCTGTACCATTTTTCTAGATTCCACAAATATGCGTTAATATATGATATTTTGAACTATTGTTTCTTGACTGCTTTTCCTTTGTTCCTGCCTTCTTTTGTTCCCTTAAACTCATTAATTACTGAGACCTGTTCAAGGGCAAGCATTGTGGCCAGGCTTAGATCACAAAATGGCATAGGCCTAAAATGGCTTCTCTTATATCAAGAAAGCCATGCCTGGTTCTTTTTCTCTGGGGTCCCCTACCCTATCTGCTTACAAGATTAGCTGACATTTGAGTACAGACCAAAAGAAAGTAAGAGAAGAAGCCAAGGCGTGTGGGTCTGGGAGAAGTGTGCCATGCACAGTGAACAGCAAGAGCAAAGGCCCTGAGGTGTGACAATGCTTAGCATATTTGAGGAGTAGTAAGAGAGTGGGGAAAGAGTGGAAAAAATAAGGAGGGGTATGCAGATCATGCCGTAATGCAAAGTCTTTTAGTTAAGAACTTGACCTTTACTCAGAGGGAAATAATAAGCCATTGAAAGGTTTTGAACAGAGAAGTAAAATGATCTTTTCAGCTACTCTGTAGAGAATAAATTGAAAGGGGACACAGATGGAAGCAGGGAGTCCAGTTAGGAGGCCAATTCATAAATCCAGGTGAGACATGCTGGTGGCTTGGACTAGGGTGGTAGGGGTGGAGGGAGAAGGGAATCATGGAAAGTAATAACTTGTTCCCCTTTGCAGAAAGATAGTGTTAATAGATGGGCTGGTCCATGTGGAGACTGACATGGGAGCCTCAAAACAGGCTATTGTCAGGGTTTTGCCAAAGAAGAGGATACGGATGCTCCTCCCTAGAGTGTGGCCACTGGTGTAAGGTAGTTCATCTACCCCATCTAACCTGAATGATAAAATGGCTCTCAAACCCTTTCCCTATTTTGCCTTGATTCTCTGTTTGCCAAGCATCCAAGATCTCTTAATTGATGCCTTGGACATAAGTGATCTGATCTCAAGAAAAGAATGACCCCCCACTAGGAATGAATACTTGGTATCAATCTCTTATGATTGTGGTGAGAATCATTTATCTTTTCTGGGGAACTGAGGGCCAGGAACAAGGTGACCCCAAAACTGTAACTCAGATTGGGACTTGAACCCACAGTCTTTTAACTGAGATCACACCTGGTCTCAGGACTTAATGAAGCTCAGGTTCTTGATGTCTCATCACAGAAAGAATTCAGTGAGAGACAAAGTGATAGGTAAGAAGTGGATTTATTTAGGGAGAAACACGCTCCACAGACAGTGTGGGCCATCTCAGAAGGTGAGAGTGGCCCCAGGGTATGGGGTTGTCAGTTGTTATAGGGGTGGGTGATTTCATAGGATAAATGAGTGGGAGGAGTATTCCAGCTATTTTGGGGAAGGGGTGGGGATTTTCAGGAATTGGGCCACTGCCCACTTTTTTTTTTAATTTAATTTTATTTATTTTTTTATACAGCAGGTTCTTATTAGTCATCATTTTATACACATCAGTGTATACATGTCAATCCCAATCTCCCAATCATCACACCACCACCACCCACCCACACCACTTTCCCCCCTTGGTGTCCATACGTTTGTTCTCTACATCTGTGTCTCTATTTCTGCCCTGCAAACTGGTTCATCTGTACAATTTTTCTAGGTTCCACATATATGCGTTAATATACAATATTTGTTTTTCTCTTTCTGACTTACTTCACTCTGTATGACAATCTCTAGATCCATCCACGTCTCAACAAATGACCCAATTTCGTTCCTTTTTATGCTGAGTAATATTCCATTGTATATATGTACCACATCTTCTTTATCCATTCGTCTGTCGATGGTCATTTAGGTTGCTTCCATGACCTGGCTATTGTAAATAGTGCTGCAATGAACATTGGGGTGCATGTGCCTTTGAATTATGGTTTTCTCTGCGAATATGTCCAGTAGTGGGATTGCTGGGTCATATGGTAATTCTATTTTTAGTTTTTTAAGGAACCTCCATACTGTTCTCCATAGTGGCTGTATCAATTTACATTCCCACCAACAGTGCAAGAAGGATTCCTTTTCTCCACACCCTCTCCAGCATTTGTTGTCTGTAGATTTTCTGATGATGCCCATTCTAACTGGTGTGAGGTGATACCTCATTGTAGTTTTTTTTTTTAATTAATTAATTTATTTATTTATTTTTATTTTTGGCTGCGTTGGGTCTTCGTTGCTGCATGCGGGCTTTCTCTGGTTGTGGTGAGCAGGGACTACTCTTTGTTGAGGTGTGCGGGCTTCTCATTGCGGTGACTCCTCTTGTTGTGGAGCACTTTTTGACCTTTATGGTCGGCCTTGGAACGGTCATGGTGCTTCTGGCTGTGTCATTTAGCATGCTGTATTACAATTAGTGTATACTGAGGCTCAAGGTCTAGTGGAAGTCGACTTGTCCGCCATGTTGGACCTATTTGTTTCTAATCAGTTTATGTCGTGTCCTCGGGCTATGTCATTCTTTTAAAGGTTGTGCCGTGCCCCCTTCCCTACTGTTTCAACCTCAACCCCATCAGTTTCTTTTGCATCTAGCTCATTCTATCCTCTGTCTCCCACACAGACTACCAAATCTATGTTACTCCCCTGTTTAAAAACCTTCACTGGGCCATTCCCAACAGTATGGCATGAACTTTAAGGCCCTTCATTACCTGACATCACTCTACTCTTCTAGACATTCTTCTGACACTTTCCTTTGATATACCCCAGAGTGGTAACCAAGACAAAAAGACTGGAACTGTGCACGAAGGGAACTGAAATTTAGCACAAAAAATTGAGACACTGACTTTAAAAGATTGCGTGGCACTCCTTCAGCAGCACAGTTCAGAACCTTCCCACCTACACCGTCAGATAATGCACATTGTTGATAACTCCCATCTGTTCTGTTCACATCAGAAATTAAAGCTGATCTGAGGATGAGGTTAGTGTGTCCTTCCCTGAAGCCAAAATCCTTCATTGTCGCTCTGGAAATAGACAGTTCTCAGTCACCCTGAAACTCTCCTTGCCCTCCAAGTAAGCCATCCTCTCTCTCACATGGCTCTGTGGTAAGCCCACCAGCAGGAATACTTTCCATTTCAGTGTCTGCCTGTGTAACCCCTTATGGGACAACTCAGTGTCACCTCCTCTGCCAAGGCTTTCCTGGCCCCGCCCTGTATTCACCAGCCTGTTTTTGCACTACACAGTGAAGTCTCATCTTTATTCAGAAGTTGCATTCTAACTCCCATGCACCGGACAAAAATTATGACCAGAATTACCTGCAGAAATCCCTTAGGAAGATGTCACTTGTCATGCCAAAACCTTGGTTCTCTGTACACCGACGCCAAACAGAAATACAGAGACAGAGTTATGGAGGAGAAAGAAAGAGTGGCTTTATTTCTTTGCCAGGCAGAGAGGGAACACCGCAGGCTAGTGCCTCAAGAACTGTGCCCCCTCTCGTCCGGGGTAGTGGTCAGAGGTATGTGATAAGGATCTAGGCAGGACAGTCTTGCATTCTTCTTTCTTCAGGGTGGGGCTGCTGACAGGATTAGGGTGTGTGCAGGGTCCCTGGTGGTCTCCTAATCTTGATGAGCTTCTCTGGTCCCTTTAATCCTGCCTCAGGTGGTTTCCTGGCTGCTCCTCCCTAGATGAGCAACTGTTCAGATCTGCCCTTTGGCACTCAGGGAAGGTCATGGAGGCTGGAGTCTTGCCTACAAGAAATGGGGGACAAAAACCCCTCCATGCCTGGGAACCCCACAGGGCCCTGCTTGGCATCACTTGGGAGACTTATGTGTTGTCTCCTGTGGAACAAGGCAGCCAGTTTTCCTCCAGCATGGCAACAAACCACTGTTTATAAAGTATTTCATTTAGGTGTCAGATGGTTACAAAGTGTTTCAATGACTGTAATCACATTTACTGTGGCAAAATGCGCACACTATAAGGCTTGTGGAATCTGAGACCCACTGAGACAACCATCTACCACCATCTCCCCAGTACGCCATCTTTCTCAGCAGGGGACACACTCATTGAGTGGAATGGCAGGTAGGTGCCTCCTTCCCTTCTTCCCTCCCTGCTAAGCTAGGATTCACACGAGGAGAATTCACCTAAGCTAAGCTATGACCCTTGTTCTGTATTATCTTTTTTTTTTTTTTCTTTTTGGCTGCACGGCTGCGGGATCTTAGTTCCCTGACCAGGGATTGAACCCACGACCTCGGCAGTGAAAGCGCGGGGTCCTAACCACTGGACCGCCAGGGAATTCCCTGTATTATTTTTATAATTCCTTGTTCTGAAATGACCTGTCCAACCAACCAAACTGAGTGCTCCAGAAGCACTCAGAACAGATTCCCAAGGATGATCACAATGCTTTCTTAGCACAGAATAAGAATTAGTAAAAGTTGGATAAAATCAAACAATCTCCTTTATGTCCAGCCCCACCCTTGCCCACCTCTGAATAATTAATGCAGGGAGACTCCAGGCCACATATTTATCTTTAGGCCAAAAACCAGCACAAGAGCCAGCCTCCCTCTTTATAGGACAGTCCACAGCATCACCCTTAACAGCACTTTCTTGCTGTTTTTATTATATCGAATCCAACCTCTTCAGCATGGAGCTCAAGGCCACATCCCTGACCACTCTCCCTTCTTTTCCCACTCCCATGATTCCTTTTCTATATGGCTGCTTAGGGTCTCCAGCCTGCCAAGTGGGCACCACAATCTCAGACATTTTTTAACCACCACGATCCCCCACGTAACCCCACCACACACACAAGTGGAAGCTGGGCCCTGCTGAATAGAGAGCCAGTCCTGGCTGGGTAATTTCAATATAGTTCTCTGTCTTTATTGATACACCACTGCACACATGAGGGAAACAGTGCTTTTCTAGAAAAGATTGGAGTCCATCACATTTCAGATGTGGATGTAAACCCTGATGTAAGCAAGGGACTCTGGCAGTCAGAGCAGCTGCAGTTGCGCTCAGAGGAGCAATCCCTCCGTGTGGCAGGTTTTTGGGAAATGATCATCCCTTCCAGGTCCTTCATTTTGTTTTCCACTGTCTGAAGCTTTTCTAGAATTTTCTCTTGCAGACCCAAAGATAGGAAGATATTATTGTCTTGAAATGGGAGACCATTCCCTTCTGGGTTGACCAGCAAAGCCTGAAAAAAATCTGAGCCTTTCTTGTAAAGTTTGTAGAGTGTGATTGCAAACAACAATATTTTCTAAAATAAAACAACAGAAGTTGAACGTTACTTGTTTATAAATGTGAAATGCCACAGTTTACTGTAGATGCAAAAACAAAAGATGACTCTAGAAGTAATTATAATCCCTCATTCCTATGCCAAGCCTTCTGTCTAACAAAACATCTTCACACCTATTTTGTCTTTTGATCTTTATCACAAAATGGAGTGGTAGGCAGGTCAGGGATTATTGTAATTAATATAATTAAAAAAATAATAGTAGATACTGTTTGCTGAAAGTCTGCCTCATGCAAGGCTCTGTGCTAGGAGTTTCCTTCCCTATGCAGGACCTATTTATGTAGAAAAAAACAGAGCTGGATAACCATTTAGATGCCTTCCAGTTTGGACTCTGTCATTGTCCAAGGTCATATATTTGGAAATGGTAGAGCCAGGACTGGAATCCAGGAATTCTGATTTCCATGTATATTCTCTTAGGACACAGTGGTCTGAAACACTGGATTTCCTGGTCATAGAAAAAAAATTTTTTTAATGTGCTAGGACAGAGTCCTGGTGGGAAAATAAAAAAAATCATCTTTTTTCCTTATAATAACTAGCACTGCTTACTGAGTACTACTGTGTGCTAAGCTTTATACATACAAGATCTCCTTTAATCCTCACCAAAACCCTGAGGGAGGCACTGTTAGCAAACCGATTTCACAGATAAGGAAACTGGGGTTTACAGGCTAAGTGACTGCTCTCACATCACACAGCAAGTGATAGAATGAAGAAGCCCCCGTAGTCTGACTCCAGAGCTTATTAACCACTCTGTTATACTACCTCTTTTTCTTGGCTGAGGTGTCTGGAGGGCTGCAAAATTCATCTTTCTGATTGAATTAAACAATAACCAAACAAGAGCAGAACCCAGAAGTACAGATAAGAGTTTGGTGTTTTGCCTTCTATTCTTCTATATTCTAACTGAAATACATGTATATGAATATGTAGACACACAAATCCCTGTTGGGGATTTAGGTCAGTTGGACTATATTAAATGAGATTTTTGGAGAAGAATTTAATTTAGGATCCTAAAAATTGGGTTCAAATCTCAGCTTTTACAATCTATGTCACCTTGGGTCAGTGATAACCAAGTTCACTCACCTACAAAATGGAGATAATAATCCCTGCCCTGCCTACCATGCAAGGTTTTGAGAGATTAAGAGAATGCATGTGACTGATTTCTCAACAGTAGTGACATGAAAATAAGTGAGCGCTACAAAATAATCCAGTAATAACTTATCTCAGCATTTACCAAGTAAACCAGTCACCCTTTAACAAAGCCCTCTTTAAGTCCCGTCTCCTTAAATTTAGGCTGAACCTCAGTGCACCTCAGTTTCCTAGTTCGTCATATGAAAATAACCTCTATTTCATGGAACTGTTGGGATTCTCAAAGCATTTTAACTATATTGTCAATATAGCTATAATTGGTAATTAAACAGAGGTATGTTTGTAAAATCCTAAATGTTTTTCATAATCCCAGCCAATTGTACTCCTATTCCCCAAAAGAGCCCCTGTATATTCATTGTGATGACTAAATAAATATACACGCTTCCTCATCAGTTACAGAGCAAAGGCACAGTAAGAACAGAAAGGCGAAATCCAAGATCCCAGTTATACTTGCAGTGCTATTCTGTAAGAGGTACTCCACACGGTGTCTGGCACACGGTTAGACACTCAAAGATGAATACAAATACATGATCAAATAAATTTGGAGGTAAGGCTGCCTTCTCAGATTATGAACTTCTTTAATGTGTTTTATCATAAGACAAGCCAAAGATCATTGTGAGAAAGACCATTTTTATGCCAAAAACCTAACTGATGGAAGTTTTTAAGGATAACGTAGTTTCAACCAACTTCAGAGACAAAGGTTCACTCTGGTTTATATGCATGGTCTTAAAACTGGGTGGCAGCAATATGGGAGGGAACTGACCAAATTTCAATGTAAAACTATTTAAATTTCTCTGTAACGAAAGAGTATAACCTGAATTGACTGAACACTTCGTTTCCATAAGGCATATACTCCTATTCCCAACAAAATCAAAACGGAAATCCCCAGGATCACTTGCACAGCCGGAACAAGATTATCTAGTAGCCCCAAACTTGTTTGCTGAGGCACACTAGTCTCTCCCAGAAAAGTTGCTTGTAGATAATTCCATATCGAGCTCAGAGAGATGATGTCCCAGATAGAAGACAAAGGTGACATTTTAATATAACAGCAGCTCCAGGAACTGCATGTGCAGAGGCTTTAGGAACCTAGATACGAGTTAGGAAGAGTTGTCTGGGAGTCCAGTTCTGAAGCCATTGTGAGCTGTGCTTTGTGATATCACTGTTCTGAAGCTCAGCTTGTTTCCCACTCACCCACTGAACCTTCTCACTCAAAACCAAGCAGACAGTGGTCTGAATTCTCAGTTCAGTCATAGCACTCTCTCTAATCTTCGGCAAGTCCTAGCTCTAACACAGCACTGTCCAACAGAACTTTCTGCAACGGTGGAAATGGTCTATATTTGCTCTGTCCAACGTGGAAGACACTAGTCACTTGAAATGTGGACAGTGTGGCTGAGGAACTGAATTTTACATTTTATTAAATGTAAATTTAAGTAGCCACATGTGGCTAGTGGCTACCCTCTTAAACAGTGTATAGAACATTTCCAACAATCCATGGGATGGAGAGCAATTATTTTCACATTTCAACTGAGAAAACTGAGGTTAAGTGGAGAGGAGAGGAGACAGGATTTAAAAAGGGCTTTCCTAAAGAGCGAATAGTTTACTTGGTAAATGTGGAGGGAGGTTCTTACTGGATCATTTTGTAGCATTTCCTTTTTCATATGTCACTACTGCTTAGAAATCGTGATCTTTGGAAAAGCTTTTGACATATTTGAGCCTCATTTTGCTCATCTGTTTACATCTCCTTCATAAGATTTATATTAGGAACAAATGGTATAATTTCCTAAGCACTTTGTAAACAGTAGCATGCTGTACCATAACGTATATGCCATGTTATCAAATCCATTATTTACTGACTAGTACCTATCTACTCAACAAGGAGGTATGAAAGTATAAAATATAAGGTCTGTTCCCAAAAATCTTACATGAAAAAAAGGTAGTTCACACACAAGCGTATAATATAAATTGTGAGATCATTTACCAAGACAGCAAGAATCCAAAAGAGGGTTTGCATCAAGAGGAGGGGAGGGGCATGGTAAGTAAGGAGAAAAAGGGTCAGTTATGACAACTTTTAGAAAAATATTGTCTGATGCTATTCTGATTTGTTCATCTGGTTGACTGAAAGAAAGAAGATGAATAGGGAAGCCTGGTGGAGAAAGAATAACTGTTTTGTTCTTGCAGGAATCAGAGGTATGGCAAGTTGCTTGAGGTGTCAGGGACACATCCAGGAAGCAGAGTCTAGAATGTTGTTGGATATATAGCACCATGTCAGGGCGAAACGACCTACTGATTTAGGAGCGACTGCTAATGATGTTAAACCCATAGTCTGCTAGTGACTGACCACAACCAGAATCTTTTCTAGAAAGGAATACAAATTACTCAGATAAGACTTGGGATTTTACTATAACAAGTTAAACGTATGTCAGAACCCATTAAAGAATGATAACCAAAAACTTTTAGGAGAAAAATATGGTTGTGACAACCGAATCATTACCCAAGACTTCCTATACTAGATGAGATCCCCCTGTTACATGGCACCTTAGACTTTACTTTCAAAGCACTTAACACGATTAAGGTTATTTGTGCAATTTTGGGTTTAATATATCTTCCCTGACTATTGTAAACTCAAGGAAGACAGGGACCAAGTCCATTTTATTGACTACTGTATCCCTAGTGCTTGGTACTTAGCAGGCATTCGAATATTTTTAAGTAAATACAGAGTCCCCTAGAAGAATTCCAAATATCTTTATAGCCTGAACTGTTCAATCATCAAGTGCCTGTTACCATATTTGTGTACTCGTTTCTACAGAAGCTTTATAGGGTAGCTGTTAAGAGGATAGGCCTTTGGGAGTATAATGGATCTGGGTTCAAATTTTGGCTGTACTATTCACTAACTTTGTTACCTTGGGCAGGTTACTTAACTTGAGGCTCAATATCTTCATTGGTAAAGTGAGAGTAATTCCTACCTTGTAGGGCTACTGTAATGAGAATTTGATAATTTGTGTAAAAGAGGGCAACTATTATTTACAGTGATGTTTATGACCAAATGCAAGGTATTGTGGATCTCAATAGTATAATGTCCCTCAAAGAGAATCTAGTCTGAAAACCCATTTATTGTTTGACTCGCCTCTCGGCCACCAGAACACCTCCAATGATGAATTTATCACCATGCGAGGTATCTCGGCCCACCTTTAGTGTCATCCATCCATCCATCCCTCAGTCACGTCCACATTGCGCCCTATTAGGACTTCTTGACTTACACTGCAACTTATGATTTATGCAGTGCCTACTTTCAAAGCTTCACTAGGTTCTTCATTGTCCTTCAAACAAAATCCCAAATCCAGACCATAGTGACAGGCACTAAAATACCTGGCTCCTGCTGACCTATCCAATCTTCTCTCCTACCCCTTTCCCTTTTATTCTCTTAACTCTATAGCTCTACTAGATTTGTCAATGTCACTAACACACCAAGCTGTTGTACCACAAAGCCTTGGCACATAATTGGATTATCCTAACTCCTATTATTTCTTCAGGTTTAAACATTGCTTCCTTTAAGGAAGATTTTCCTGTCCTCTTTTTTGGTTCCCTCAGTCAGGGCATCTTTTGTAGCACTTTTACTTAACTAATTTTTTGTAGTGTTTTGTTTAACGTCTGTCTTCCTGACTAGACTCTAATCTCCAGGATGCAGGAAACTTACCCTGTCATGTTCAACATTCTCCCCAGAAGCTGGCAGAAGGTGTGTGCTTAGTAAATATCTGGCTATAGCTTTCCTATGCCTCTTGGCTTCTCTTTTCCAGGCTAAACCTGCCAAATACAGGTTGACAGGTTTTTAAATCTCCTGACTATCCCAGTTACTTCCTCAGAGAGGTTCAGGCCTCCAAATGCAGGCCGTCACAGACTATATTTCTGCAAGTGTAGACAAAGCAGGCCTGCTAGCACAGTGGGCCACTCTTTGCAGACTCAGCTGTACATAATAGGAGGCTGTGTCCTGAATCAGGAGTAGAAAGCCGCGAGGCCTCACAGTCTACCATGGGGGTGAAGAGGGGACACCAAGCAACTTTTCTGATTTTCAGAAGTTTCTTTCCGGAAGAAAAACTGACTTTTCCATAAGTCACACGATATTCACAGAAACAATAGTTTCTCCTTTCCACCTCTTTCTCAAATGAGTAACTGTCAACACTGGACATATGACTGGAGTTGGATCTGCATGACCTGGCTTTTACCTATGCTTCAAACTTTATTTCCCACTACTCACTTTCACAAAAATTACAGCTTAATTACAGAACTGTGGTATTTGTGGTACTTTAAATACCACCTGCCACTTTCCATCTTTCTTCCTTCACATTAAGTTCCCCTCCCTGACATTTTTCCAGTCAGATGAGATTGGAAACTGGGCTCCACCTCTTCCTAGCTTTATCAGCTAGGCAAGACACTTCATCCCTCTCTTAAGTTTTTATCTGTCAAATAAGAATACTAACAGTACTGACTTCATGGAGTTATGAAAATTCAACAAGGTAATTTTATGTAAAGTGCTAAAAAAAAAGTGTAATTATCCTGCATTCTCACAGCACTTCCCACTTCGTATTCTGGGCCACTGCTTCTAGAACTTTTCTGTGCCTATAAATCATCTGGAGATCTTACTGAAATGCAGATTTTGGACCAGGAGGTCTGGACTTGACATTCTACATTTTGAACAAGCTCCTAGGTGATGCCCGTGCTGCTGATCCATGACCACACTGTGATTAAAATGTTTAAGCTACGCCAGCTCTCACATTAAAGCTCCATGATAGCAGGTCCTGTAACAAATCTGCTTTGTTATTTTTATCTCCCAAAACATCTGGAATTATCTTTAAATATTTGGCTAATGACTAACTCTGTTCTCCAGTGACTGTCCTTCACAGTGCAGGTCAAAAGTAGGTAAGCTGGGACAGGCTTCCCTGGTGGCGCAGTGGTTGAGAATCTGCCTGCTAATGCAGGGGACACGGGTTTGAGCCCTGGTCTGGGAGGGTCCCACATGCCATGGAGCAACTAGGCCTGTGAGCCACAACTACTGAGCCTGCGCGTCTGGAGCCTGTGCTCCGCAACGAGAGGCTGCGATAGTGAGATGAGAGGCCCACGCACCGCGATGAAGAGTGGCCCCCGCTTGCTACAACTAGAGAAAGCCCTTGCACAGAAACGAAGACCCAACACAGCAAAAATAAATAAATTAATAAACCCCTCCCCCCAACATTTTTTTTAAAAAAAAAAAAAAAAGTAGGTAACCTGGGGCCGAGGGGATAGGTTAGGGATGAAATCCCTAGGAAGGCTAATCACTAATGATTCGCTCTCTTTCACACATGTGCTCATGAACATGGGGAAACATGGAAGCAAGAGAATTCTGGGTAAAATTCAAGAATCAAAGTGTCTGGCATTCTCGACTTCCACCTATCATTTTAGGGGGCACAAACTCAGTGCTTCCAGGTCTGTGTCAGGGGTTGGGGACAAACCCCAAAGAGACATCAAGTAAAAATGACAGTACTAAAAACTTCAAAAATAACCCTCTGATCTTCTGTATTATCATATAATCACACATGCTGGTTTTTTTTTTTACATGCTGGTTTTTAACAGAACATTGTCTTCAATAAAGATCAAACGAAGCAAGCCGCTACAACTGGAACAGAAAATGATCTTAGGGTCATCTTAAAGCAAACCTTCAATTGGGTTCTGATAATTAGGGTTTGGTTCCACTGCAAATGGACGCACTTGGTCCTTCCAGGAGGTAGGAGTTAGAGGTGGTTGAATGGATATAGTTGAGTGTATTTTATTTTGGCTGAACTGGGCGGCATGTGGGATCTTAGTTCCCTGACCAGGGATTGAAACTGCCCCCTGCAGTGGGAGTGCAGAGCCCTACCCACTGGACAGCCAGGGAATTCCCCTTTATTTTTATTTATTTATTTTAAAATTTTATTTTATTTTTGGCTGCGTTGAGTCTTCATTGCTGCGTGCAGGCTTTCTGTAGTTGCAGCGAGCCGAGGCTACTCTTCGTTGCGGTGCACGGGCTTCTCGTTGCGGAGCACGGGCTCCAGGTATGCAGGCTTCAGTAGTTGTGGTGCACGGGCTCAGTAGTTGTGGCTCGCAGGCTCTAGGGTGCAGGCTCTGTAGTTGTGGCTCACTGGCTTAGTTGCTCCGCGGCATGTGGGATCTTCCTGGACCAGGGCTCGAACCCATGTCCCCTGAACTGGCAGGCGGATTCTTAGCCATTGTGCCACCAGGGAAGCCCTCCCCTTTATTTTTAAATTTTTACAATTTTTTTTTTGGCTGGATATAGTTGAGTCTTAAATAAATTAGCAGCTTTCTCTTGGTCTGATCTAAAAATCTCTAGTATTAGGAATTTTTTAAATGAGGCCACTGGTTATTTCTCATGCTCAGATCACAGATAAGGACCTTTCAAAATCATCACCTACACCACCTCACTTCGTAAGTGAGGAAACTGAAGCCCACAGAAGAAATTAGCCAAAGATCCCAAAGGAGTCAGGAGTGACCTCAACCTCTCAGATGTTCTACTGTCACTTTTTCTTTCAACAGAATCTTGTTTGAGAATCCTGTTACCTACTACGACCTGAGCCAAGAAATGACTTGGGCTTGGGGGGTGCTTTAGACTCTTAGGGTGAGGAGGTGGCAGAATGAAATCCCTGAAGAGCTGATAAAACAAGGTTTAAGGGTTAGAGAAAAGATCTTAAAATCTTAACCAGAGGCATAAGAAAGGGATATTAGGAGTATGAGTCGTTCCATTGCTAGCTAATGAAAGTGGCT